AAATGCACAAACCTAAAGCGAAAATGAAACGAGACTTAAAAACGACTAAAACGATAAATAAACAAAGTTTATAGCAAAATAATTGCCTTACCTTGCTAAATAGGTAGGTTTCATGGTTTTTTTTGATGCATGATTCCTCTCTAAAATAATAGCCATAGTGGATAGAAAACGGTTAGAATTGCACCTGGAAAACAAACTAATTTTGGAACAAGGACTTTAGAACTATGCGGGTAAAGATCCATAAAGTCAAGCTTTAAGTGTTGCTGGGTTCCTACGTCAAAATCAGACGATGCAACTATATTCGATGCAATAATATTGAAATTTACTACCCATTTGAGACAAATAACGTAACTCATGGAGGGCAATCCGGATAGTCATTATACCGAAATAATGGCAGCAATTAACTAATAAGAGACTCTTTGAAATCCTAACCAAGATATATTCCTCTGGTGCTAAAATTAAAGCAATCAATTAAAGTTCGCATTTAAAAGAGTAGAGTTATTGCCTAATACATTGTTTCTACGAGGGAGAAAATAGAAGCATAAAGCTCATATATGTACGCATAAAATCGTAGAAATCAGAAATGTTAGAAAATACCAAGCTTTATATAATAAGTTTAGAGGATTCGCCCAGTAGTATACAGATATTATTCCAAAAAAGTCCAGTTAACACGAGGAAGTTTTAGTACTGAAAGGTTAAATTTTTATTGCATAAACAGCAAGGATGCAAAACAATTCACTCAAAATACAGGTTCAGCCAATTTGGCCATTCTCTCGATTACAATTAAATAATCATAAATAAAAATATTCAGCCCGTTCTTTCAAGTACAAAAGAAAATAATGAACTTAGGAATGATTAGGTTGAAAATAATCTATCAGCATCACTTCGTTTTGAGCGTCTCAAGGGCATCCATAAAACCGCGCCAGCCCCCATTGGCTATAATCCATCTCCCCATCTGGGAGTCAAGGTCCTTCACTGCATATTCAACCAAAAAGTTTATGAGAAATACTATGCCTGCATCAAGACATGTCATGCAGTAATCAGCCACGAAAGTCATGTAACCGAGAAGGCGACCCCAATTGAGCATGCCATCTTTCCAGATACTCGAAACAGTGTCCATGAAGTCTAATTGAGCCCTTTCCGGGGCTCGATGAAGTAGAGCTTTGCGGTTCTCGAACCTAGGAAGAAAATTAACTCTAAACTCTTCAGCTTTGTGTATCATTTGACGAGTTATGGTGTCTAGTATTGGGTCTTGTGCAGTTCGACCTAGTTTGTCTGTGAAAAGTTTCAGCCCATTATATCCTCGAGTGCTCATGAGGTAGACCACGTAATCCACAATAATAGCTTCCAAAATGGTTTTAGTTTCCAATTCATCAAGGCTGCACCTTGGATTGTAAATATTTGAATCCTTTTCTCCAGCTGATTCAACAAACACTACATGGTTCGGGAACATATCTGTCTCGACGAGAAAATATAAATGAATTCTGCTTATTTGAAAATAGCAAATGTAACTTCTTTTAAAAATCGATTAAAGGACGTAGTGTGAACTGAGTGCATATGGCTTTTCGGGAATTTCCGTAAGCCTAATAAGCCCTCTTTGCTCAATATAATTGTGACAACCTTGCATTGTGCTCAGGATATATGTTTATAGATGAAAATTAAAACAGGTGTGTAAAGGGTTTAATTGCATACCGCATCATTCCTAGAACAAATCTGAGTAAATATTTAGTCGGAAAAGTAAACTGAGTTAATGTGATCTAAAGACTACATTAACGTGAGCAAAAATCATTACTTCATCACCTTAGACGAAATAGGGTGAATACATCTCAATATACTGATTTACTGGTAGTCTCGAAACTCTACTATCATACGAAAATAAGTAACGTAGTCGATTTTTATAGCAAATATACGTTTGCTTCATCGGCACTCCCACCAAAGAATATG